TCATCGTTCTCTTTGTCTAGTACACTGTAGTAGACAAAGACCTGGCGGAACGTATGTTGTGTCAGGTCCGGCGAAATCCTCCTTCGCCGTACCCAGCAACGCGAATTTAGTTTTTAAAACGCTTAATATTTAAGATGGCTAACCAAATTACAAAAAACAATAACGGCTTCGATGTTCTTCAGTGCATACTATTTTTTTTTTAATAATAATTGTCGATTTAATACATTTTCCTGTGTATGAATAATAAACGAAAAAAATTACATTAAATTATCTAAAATTTTATTTTTCGTACATAACTTAGCTACAACATAAATGCGCTTTTTCTGTATTTTTAGCATCTAAGCGTTTTCAGATATTTCAGAAACGAATTTAAAGTTTTAAATCATTTTAATTTTTCAATTATTCAATTAATTTATTTGACAATTTGTCATATACATTAAAAAAAAAATGTAAATGAAGATAGTTAACAGTTGGTACTTTTATTATTACTTTTTTTTATATTTTTTAACTGCATGTCATTATTTAATTATTATTATTTAATTGTGGATGTCCGGGGTCGGCAAGCCGTATAGCCGCCGGTCGACGCGGAACTCAGTAAAAATAATGTTTTCGGTGGTTCTCAATTAATGATAAAGCAGAACAAGTAGAATTAAGGATTAATAGTATTTGGAATCAAACTGACATTGTCAATTTCCTATAAAAAATTATTTTAACAGGTCGAAACATTTGAGATGTTTTGTACATCCTGGCACGTAAAATGTCAGTGGTTAATGAGTAGCAGCCATACATTACGAAAATATATAACACCAAGGTGTAGACTCAAAATATTTGGCCGACCCGAAATTTTGACCCACCAGCCGCCACTGCGTTTTAGAGATCTGAACAATAAAAGAAATACAGGAGTATGTTACATACTTTATAAAATTTAAGTCCCACCTACTATGAAAAATTTTAAGATGTCATCACATTAAAAGGGATATTGGGCCAATTTTGGTTCATATTTTACCATCTTCACGATATTCCTAACATACATATAAATTTTGAGAACAATCGGTCCGGTAGCTTTGGAGACTATCGGCATAATAAAAATCTGTACAGACGGCACAGAGACTGAACCAGGGGATCTAATTTTTCATACTTCATGACTATGAGTCATGCAACATTGAGATAACATTAAAGTAGCCAGTTGCCTCCAGATAGATTCGATTACAATATTTTTTTTGCTTATGATCAGGAAGTAAAAATAAAATTTTCTAATTTTTGAACAGTTTGTATTTAATATATCTCTAACGTTTATTCCTACAACACCGAAAACACACAAAATACGCGTTGCGCCAACCACTTTGGCATTATCTAGACAAAGCTAAACTCTGTTGTCATGTCATCACGGTGTTGGTGGGGATGATTGGACAAATTTTGGTTAGGGTTTTACCATCTACACGATATTCCTAATGAAAATACCAAATGTGACAACCAGTGCTTTCGGAGATTATCTGTCTAATAAAATCGGGTCAGACGGTAGACAGACGGACAGACAGATACACAGACAGACAGACAGACAGGCGGGCAAACAGACGGAAACTGGAGACCTATTTCTTCGTACTCCAGGGGTTATCAAAGGTCGAGAAAACGTAAAAGTAGAGAGACGGCCGACGGCCTCGATTACAATACATATTTCCTTTGCTTAGAGCCGTTTGACACCGGACTACTTTTTGTACTAAATTGTATGCGATAGAATGCGCGCGCCGGGAAGTAAAAAGGTAAAGTTGCGTTTGATCACTGACTAAATAGTAATTTACACAACTAGTTCGGGATAGCCTGCTTCCCGCATGAATGCTTGTTTGCGGCACGACCGAAGGGAGTGCCGCATTTGCGTGAATGCGGGAAGCAGGCTCACGAACGTGTTGTGTACAATATTTTTTGCAACGAATAAACCTTTAAACTGAAGAAATTAACTGTGAGTTATTTATAAACAATGGCGCCGTCAACACATCACAATGTTGACACTACGCGAGTATTTTAAGGTTACCATGGCAACGGGAAGTTAAAATGCACGTGTGCGGGAAGTTCGAACTCCCGCACTCTGGTGAATGCACGAAAGCCATCAAAAAAGATCATGAGTGCAAAAAGTAAGATTGCGTTTAAGCAGCGTAAAACGTTTGCTCTTGGCCAAAATTCAAATTTTCATGCCTTTGGATTAGTTGTATGCTTTAAGCAATGTTGTACTTTTCAGTTTAAGTTTTGTTTTCGGCTTTACTAAGATGATAGATGAATGATGTTTTACGGTTATATCTGAGTTTTTTGTTGTAAACTAAACTATTATTCAGTACAATAGAATACATTTTAAGAACAACCCAGTTTTATTATTTTCTTTACTATAACGTAATGGCTATACAAGTGGTTCGCCAATTTTATCTGGTTTTTAAAAGAGAAAAAAGTTGGAGACCGCTGTTGCAGATTACTAAATTGATGAAGTCATACGGGGATCCTCAAATTCTTCAAACACGTCCTTCACCAAAAATTTTTTCTTTATAAATACCTACTTATAAAGAAAAAAATTTCTGAAATGGATGTTTAATTATTATTTACAGCCGGCTGGCCTTCCAACTGCATACTAGTTTTTGTAAAGTAACCATGAATAAATTTTGATCGCCGTTTAATTAATTTAAGATTACTTCAGAGTAACCATAAAAATTCTGAACGTGATAATTATAAAGATTACATCTTGAATAATATAAATAATACGCACCGGTAGGCCTCCAGACAGACAAATAGCAGAAAAGTGGAGAAAACCCACAGACAAAAATTTATTTAGCGAAAAAAAAAGGAATATCGGCAGTTAGCAACGAATTATACAACAGCAGGATTACCTAATCAGAAAATGTATTAAAATAATAATAATTAAATTATTTTGAGAATATTTGCAAGATTCCGTCCACACTGATTTCATATCTTTAATAAATTAGTGTTTAATTATTATTAAAACACGTATTTACTTAAATTTGTTACATTTAGATAATCACCTTTAGTTCTGATGTTCTGCTCTATGTAACACGAAAACAAAATCAAATTTGCTCGCATCGATCAGAAAAAAATATTCACAGCAGGTAGGTACAGGGAAAACAGTTTTAATCAATCTGCTTTTAAAAAAGTGAGATCTACCGGAAAAATTGCATTAGCTATCGCGTCATCCGGCATTGCACCTACGCTTTTGGCCGAACCACACACTCTACATCCAAGCTTTCGCTGAAAATCGCCACCGATGATAATAACAGCGTCTGTAGTGTTTCTAAACAGAGCAATATAGGAGAACTGATGCGTGACTGTTCATTAATAGTCTGGGACGAAGCTACCATCTACCATGTCAAACAAGACGTCTGTGGAAGCACTGAATAGGACAATGCGCGATTTGCGCAACAAAAATTCACCTATGGGTGAATGTACAATTCTGTTCTCAGGAGACTTTCGTCAAATCCTACCAGTTGTGACTCGAGGAATACGTGCTAACGAAATAAATGCTTCTCTAAAAAGATCCAACCTTTGGCCATACGTCATTAAATTAGAGCTTAAAACTAATATGAGGGTTTCGTTATCTCCACGTGAGAACAGACTTTTTCCAGAGATGCTGCTAAAAGTTGGCAATGGAGAGTTAACACAAAGTGAGGGAAGGATTAACCCAGAAGACCTTTGTGTTTTGATAGACAACATCCAAGAGTTAGTCAACAATGTCTGTCCTGACATTGATAACATAAGTTGTAAGACAATATCTTGGTTTAAAGAAAGAGCGATTCTGTCACCAACTAACGAACAAGTACTTAGATAAGGTAAATAACTTGATTCTTTCAAAGACTGATGCGCCGACGCAAATACATTAGGTACTCGGTCGATACTGTTCTCGATTTGGAAGAAGCTGTTCATGTTCATACAGAATTTCTTCTGGACTCCCTTCTCACAAAATGGTGTTGAAAGTAGGTTGTCCTGTTATTTTATTAAGAAACCTGAATCTACCTAAACTTTCCAATGGCACCCGTTTGCTACTAAAATCACTGAAAACTCTCATAATAGAGTGCACAATACTTACAGGATGTGGTATCGGAGAAGATGTACCTATTGATTCCTCGAATCCCTCTGTTACCATCGAATTTACCATTCCAATTTAAACGCCTACAGTTTCCGGTAAAAACATATTTTGCAATGACCATCAATAAATCGTAGGGTCAAACCTTCAACGTTGTAGGCTTAGATTTGAGCGTTGAGTGTTTTTCACATGGCCAACTATATGTCGCTCTTTCAAGAGTAACCTCTAAAGAAAACACGTTTGTATTGTCTAATGCCAAGAAAGCTGTGAACGTTGTATATAAAGGCATTCTGTAGTATATTAATTGTAAAAATAAAATAAATAGGTAAAAATGTAAAAAGTAAATAAGTAAAAATGTAGTATATGAATTTAGATATTCCAAAGATAGCAGGAAATCTTCACGGTATAGGGAAAGGGGAATTGTTTTATTCCGAATTTAACGCGTGCGAAGCCGCGGGCAAAAACTAGTAAGGTATATAATCCACTGCAATAGTTCTGATAATTTGAACAGATTAATTCCTATGCACTTAAGCATCCCTTTGATAAAAACTCAAATATAACCGAATATTAGTGGTAGGTTACAAAATTTCAAAGTATGCTGCACGTCTAAAATAAAACCTAAAAGTTGAGTAACCCCAAGATAAACCCTTGACAAATCCCACTTCGAATACCACAAATAAATACATATTTGAAAATAATGGATCAGCAGCGACATTCAAACAACTCCTAACATAAATCTTCGCTGAAATAAACTGAAAATGCTTGATATCACTATTACCTAACAAACCGGAAAAAATCCCACCACATTTACAAAGAGTGGAATGCGATGGCCTTGTCTTTGAAATCTGCTTTTAAATTTTAGCAATACTAAACTTATCCCACACATTCAGAAATGAATTTAGTGCGCCAGTGTTTCCCAAGAATGACTGTTTACGAAATGAATGAAAGAGAAACTAAAGAAATCGCCACATCATGTACAAAGAGTGAAGAAGGATTCTGGCACAATTTGAGAAAATATTTAAGAGAATATGCTGAAGTAACGGGTATCCACGGATTCCGTTATGTTGCCGAAAAACGTTCCACACCTGAAAAGTGAGTGTTGTCTTATGTCAACAATTTTTATGTGAATAATCGTGTATTTAAGGATTATTTGGAGTTTGCTCCTGATATTTTCATTATGTGGATGTATCTATATGATTGCCGAAATTGTGTATAAATATGAGAATAGTCCGGTGGTTGTTAGTTTTGCGACTGAAGATACACCGCTGTATCAAATCCCGTTCCCTGCTGTTACTATTTGTCCAGAAGGAAAATATAGTAAAAAGGCGTTCAATTATAGCGATGTCTATTATCGGTTAAAATACCAAAAATCAGTGGATAAAACAAAGTGAGTAGTTTACAAAGTTCAAGTAAAAATATTCTTTCACAATTAGTTTAAATTCAATTTAGCTTTTACTTGCCGAGCGTAAGCAAAGGAAGTATTGTAATCGAGTCCGTCGGCCGACTCTCTACTTTTACGTTTTCTCGATCTTTAATGACTCCTAGAAGACGAAGAAATAGGTCTCCCATTTCCGTCTGTCTGTCCGTCTGTCCGTCTGTCCGTCTGTCGGTCTCTCTGCCGTCCCGGATTTTTATTAGACAGATAATCTCCGAAAGTACTGGATCGATTGTTGTGAAATTTTGTACTTATATTAGGAATATCATGTAGATGGTAAAACGCTAACCAAAATTTGTCTAATCATCCCCACCACTAATGCGATGACGTCACTTCAAAATTGTACATAGTAAATGGGTCTTAAATTGTATACAATAACATAGTCCTATACATGTAGTTTACGACCCCGAATTGAGTTTTTACCCGAAACGTCCAGATTTTTGGAAAAAAAATCAGAATTATAAAACAACATTTTGCAATTTAATTTTGAATCTGCTAACCCGAATGTTTTGAAATGTTGGAGATGTTTTAAGGCTCTAAAGAGCATCATAAATCTTTAGTCAAAATATATTTGGTTATCCCCTCCAAAAACTTGATGACGTCAGCTCAAAAGTTTGCCGAATAAATCCTATCTAAAATGTACAAAATATGATGCGTCTGTACTTGTGATATCTCACTCCATTCATATTTTTTGGATTTGCATATACAGGGTGGCTCAAAAAAATTAATGAATGCGCAAAATTTATTTTAATGATTTACTCAGGAATTACAAAACCGAATGCTTTAAAATCTTGAAGATGTTTTAAAATTATCATAAGCATGGTAAATTTTTGATAAAAATGTATTTGGTCGTCCCCCCTAAAACGATTATGACGTCACCACAAAATTTTGCTGAATAAATCCTATCTAAAATGTACAAAATATGGTGAGTCTCTTCTTGTGATTTATCATTCCATTCAAATTTTTTCGATTTGCATATACAGGGTGACTGAAAAAAATTAATGAATGCGTTAATTTATTTTATTGATTTAATCAGGAATTACAGAACCGAATGCTTTGAAATCTTGGAGATGTTTTAAAGTTATCATAAGCATGATAAATTTTGTATCAAAATGTATTTGCTCTTCCCCCCTAAAAAAGTGATGACGTCACTCCAAAATTTTGCTCACTAAATCCTATCTAAAATGTACAAAATATGATGAGTCTGTACTTGTGATTTATCATTCCAATCATATTTTTTGGATTTGCATATACAGGGTGACTGAAAAAAATTAATGAATGCGTCAATTGTTTTTTATTGATTTAATCAGGAATTACAGAACCGAATGCTTTGAAATCTTGGAGATGTTTTAAAGTTATTATAAGCATGGTAAATTTTTTATCAAAATGTATTTGCTCATCCCCCCTAAAAAATTGATGACGTCACCCCAAAATTTTGCTGAATAAATCCTATCTAAAATGTACAAAATATGATGAGTCTGTACTTGCGATTTATCATTCCATTCATATTTTTTAGATTTTCTTAAGAGGTGGCTCAAAAAAATTAATGAAGTCAATTTATTTTATTGATTAAATTAAAGGCAACACTTATTATTAGTATTACATTGGACCAACCCAATTTGGTAGACACAAAATTTTTTAAAGTAAAAACTCAGTTGAAACATAAGGGTAGCACGCTTATTTACATCGACTTTAACATTACAGACGTGCATTTGTTTTATGCGCTGACTAGGTTCCGCGAATGTGGAATAGACATGTTTATAATCAACCAATTGTGAATTCCACCGTCAAAAATTAAAATAAAACCCAATGTTTTATATAATAAGCGGAAGTCGAAGCAATAAAACCGATGGTCGTTTTGTTTACAGTTTCTTTGTTTGACTCTCACGTATGCTGTTACGCTTGTCATCTTAAATTAAGAATGCTTATACATACACGATTTTCAGTTCCCTCTCATATTACACGCCGGCCCCGTATACGTGAGTAAATTGTTTCGTTATTTTATTGATTATAACAAATCAATATTCAAAACGACCCAATTCATTTTCCCGAAAATTTGGGAATACAGTAATTTTATTCTTAGTATTACACTACATCTATCCCAACTGATATACGTGTCCTTGCAAAAATGTTGATGACGTCATCGCATTTTTTTTTAAATTCCCACTACAAAAATGTAATGAGAAAAAAAAAACACAATAGGCATGCAGTCGTCAAGTTTCCGACAACGAGGGAAGTACTGTCTAAACTCTTTAGACCAATTTTTTTATGCTTATATTAATTGTTGTTTACAGTTTAACGATGTTTCACCATTTAAGTCTTCTCTGTGAAGAGACAGATCTTGATGTCAGATTTGAAAATGTAACCCTGGACAACCAATTCTTTAAAACCATAAGTGAAGTAAGTGACAATTAAGTAGGAGTACCTAAATTATATTTAACGATTTTAACACTCTAATCGAACAAACTGAACCAAAAGGGAAACCATTTGTACATACGCCTAAAATATTTTGAATTATGTTTCAGTAGATAGTACACTAATGATGTACAATTTTATTGACAACCCATTTATTACTGTCATATAACAGTTAAAAGTTTTATAAGTAAGTAAGTACTTTTATATTTTAGACTAAAATTAATCTAACGGACATGTTTACGGTGTGTTCCTACAACGGCGAATATCAATGTGAGAAATTATTTACGCCTGTTATAATAGATGAGGGATTATGTTATTCGTTTAATATTTTTGGGCGAGAGGACATATTTAAGGACCACATGTAAGTTGAATACTGTTTAAAAATGTATATCAATGATTATTTGCAGGTATAATTATGAACAATATTATCATGTTTCTCAAAAAATTGCAGATTTTTTTGATATGGAAACCGGATACAAAGAAAATGTCGGTGTCGATACGTATCCTAGAAGAGCGTTAATGTCTGGTGTTGGAAATGGATTAACCATATTTTTTAAGTTTGATGAAGAAATCGACGATCCTCTATGCACTGGTCCGTTGCAAGGGTTTCGGGTAAGTACCCGTTGTAAGTATGTTAGGCGGTTAAAGTTTCCAGTTCTGTTTCATCAATTTTATCATTTTACTGTATTTAACACTAGGTTTTATTTTTGGTCCACAAAGCAATCTGGCGACTGGCTCCTTTCATATTTTCTCGATGGGTCATGACCCCTAGAGTACGAAAAAAATGGGCTCCCCTTTCCGTCTGTCTGTCAGGCTTTCCGCCGTCCGTGACAATATCTTTTAGACAGGTTTTCTCCAAAACTACCGGACAGATTGTTCTCATTTTACATGTACAATATGAATATCATATAGGTTTTAAAATGCTAACCAAACTTTATCTAATCATATCCACCAACAATGTGATGACGTCACCTCAGAACTGTACTTAGTAAAATTTACTTTTACCCATTTAATGGACTTTAAATTGTATAAAATAACATTGTCCTACACGTGTAGTTTATGAATCCCTGTTGTTTTTACCCGAATGGTCCAAATTTTTTCTAAAAAAATCAAAATTATGGAACATTTTGAAATTTAATTTTGAATCTCCAAAATTGAATGCTTTGAAATATTGCCATAAAAGGGCGCGTACAATAAAGCTATGCGTTATTTACTTCTAACATAAATAGCTATTATGTTTAAAAACGTAAAAAAACGGGTAGGTATACAAAAAAATAGTATGTTCCACGCCTAAGAAAAGTGGTTTTCCATGCTCGTGTAAAAATTAATTCATTCCCTGCGTATGTTGTATGAAGATTAGAACAGTCACTAAACAATCGTAAATAAATTTCATTTATTCCTAACTACGTGCTTGTGAAATTCTAAAAAGTTTAAAAGTAGCAAATGTGCAACGAGAATATTATTATTTATATTGAAAATAGGTCTAAAGTTATCTAAAAAAAACTTCCCTCACCCTTAAAGTAAAGTACAACATATCCTGCTTTTTCGAAAAACTACAAAACTTGATTTTGTGAATTATTTTTATGACAACTTAAAGTAAAGATGTATGTGTACTGCTAAAGCAATGGAAAAGGAGCATGCTATGCGGTGTCTCAAATGATTTTTTTAATCACAAAATTATTACTGTATTTCCAAATTTTCGGTTGTTTTTGATGTGATCAGTAAAATAAATTGTCTCATTCATTAATTTGTTTGAGTAACCCGTTATAAGTAAATTTAAAAAATGTCTATGCTCTGATAAACAACAACTATAGGCTCATGCTATTTTGCACATTTTAGAAAGGATTTATTCCGTAAAATTTTGAAATGACTTTTTCAATTTTTTGAGAAAGGATGAAAGGATTAACGATTTACTATATTTAGGAGAACTTTCAAATGTTTGGAAAATTCCAGAGCATTTAGTTTTGCAATTTAAATAGTGAGTATCTAGTGATATCAAGTGCAACAGCAGAGATATGTAATGAAATTTAAATAATAATCACTATGTTAAATTTTGGGTTGACATCATTTTACCATCTACACGATTTTCCTAAAATATATGTAAAATGTGGCAACAATCGGTTCAGAAGTTTCGTAGATTATCTGTCTAATAAAATCGACTCAGACAGACAAACAGAAATGGGGACCTATTTTTCATAGTCACCTCTAGAGTCCTATGAGAAAATAATGAAACATCGAGAAAATATAAATGTAGTCATTGGCTGAATGGACCCTTCGCTTACGTTCGGAAAGTAAAAAACACAAAAACATTCTAATAAAATTAGTGATTACTATCCATTAACAACTTGCTAAAGAATAGATGCAATTGTAACCTGTTGTTTTCTAAACACTGCATTTTTTGTAGGTTTTAATTCATAGTCCTTGGGATGTACCTCTCCTTAAAACCCATTACTTTCGTATGCCTTCCAATAAAGTTGTTGCAGCTGCAATGGAAGCTGAACTTGTTCAAACTTCTGAAGATCTCAGAAAATTTAAGCCAAAAAAAAGAAAGTGCTACATGCATGATGAACGCCCTCTGAAATATTTTAAAATGTACACTCAATCTAACTGTTTACTTGAATGTCGAACTAATCATACCTTGAAAAAATGTGGCTGTGTTCAATATTTCATGCCGAGTAAGTATAATGTATATTTTGAGTTAAAATTTTATATCATTTTTAACAACAGGGGATAATACAACGCGCATATGTGGTAACCGTTTTGCCGCTTGTGTATTATATGCTGAACGTAAGCATAATCTCAAGATGTATAAAAATATTTTTCTAATTTTATTGGTAATTAAATAGATAGCTTAATCAAAATACAAATGGAAGCTAACGTAAGGGGATATCATTTTTGTGACTGTCAACCTGCCTGTTCAAATTTGAAATTTAGTATAGAAACTTCTCAAGATGAGTATTATGAGAAAGAATTTCTGGAATCACTGAAACGAACGGATACTGGAAGTAGCAGGTACCTATTAAAACGGTTTGAGATAGTTATATGAATAAAAGATTTAAATTTTAGTACGGCCTGGTCTCTTTTGCATATTTATTTCAAAGAGGAGCAAGTTACAACAATGGAAAGAAACGAGCTGTATGGTATCTCTGATCTAATATCCAACTTCGGAGGCCTTTTAGGATTATTTACAGGATTTTCATTACTTTCGACATTTGAACTCCTTTACTTTTGTTCTTTGCGTATTTTCTGCAATAAAAAAATATATGGAAAGTGGTCAGGTCCTTGAATTGAAGGACACTCCAAGAAACGCCTGAAGCAGTTTTATTAGAAAAAAATCATTCTAATTTTCTTTTATTTGGAATGATCGTATACTAATAATTAAGTAATTGTTACTATTTTGGTGTAAAGCGTCTTATTTATTAGATGCATTAGTTTTAAGATTGTATTTATTAATAAAAGAAATGTTACTTCTATTGTCCGTTGTTGGCGTAGGAAACGCGTAAGCAGTGCGTTAGATCGCAGAATTCACCGGGGTCCTGTCAGTTATTACTTACTACTTATTACTTAAATAAATAAATAAATAAATAAATATATATATTTCCCCAACAGAATACAACTTCCAATACAGGGGTACAAATTGTGTGCATAAATATAAAGTACATATATAACAAAAATTTTATATCAGAATAAACCCAGATACATCTAAATAAATAATAATAATATAATTAATAATAATAATAATAATAACGTAAACAGCTAAGAAAAAAAATGAAAAAGAAAACAACAACAACAACATTTGCCTTAATTACTTCCGATCAAATAAAGATGTCTTGGAAAGTTTTGTCCGCTTGCACATCAGTGAGATTGAAGCTCTTTTGAGGTTGTTAGTTTTTGGAATTCCAGTTTCAAAGGTGGAAGCACTGCGAGTATTTACACGTGATATATGAAATTTCACTGTATGTAATAATTCAGGACAGTCAATTTTGGCATGAAAATCCATAAAAAACTAGCAGTATATCGTTCACGTCGCATTGCCAGACTATCCAAGCTGTGCCTTTCCAACAGTAAACCGTAATAAAAATTCCGAGGAGGGTAAACATGATCTTATCAAATGCCCGGTCGATGTCCAAAAAGATAGCGGTCGTGCACTCTTTAAGGTTCGTGTGTCTTGTACAGTCCGTCTGAAGTTCCAGGAGAGGGTTAGCGGTGGAGTGTTGGGGTGTGAAGCCAAATTGTTGGTCGGGCTATAGGTATGGGTTTCCAGAAATGGTACTAGACGGGAGGTTAGGATTTTTTTCAAGAATTTTGCCCATGATATTTAGTAGGGTGAGTGATAAGATGTGGGGGTCATGTTAGTCCTTGTCAGGTTTAGGGTTCAAGATGGTTGAGACAGATTTCTATGCTTTCGGAAAGCAGGAGGAAGATAGGCAGTTATTGAAGGTTATTGTGAAGGCATGTAATGCAGGTTGAGGGAGGTTTTTTAGTAGAATGGGTTTTATTTCGTCAGGGCCAGGGGTTTTTGAATTTTTCAGACGTTTGATGACGGATAGTTTTTCGTTTGTAGATGTTTGGTTGGATCAGTCGTCGTCAGGATGTAACGAAAAGATGGGTGGGTTTTCACGGAAGTTTTGCGTTTCTTGGGAAACTTTATCGAAACAATTTTGATTGAAATTGGGGTTTTGTGGGATTGCCTGGAGTATGTACAGTGTACACCATCCTGCTATTTGTATAAGTACCAGTTTTTCACAAAAATCCCAAAGTGTCTTTTGTTTAAATCCATCAAGCAATAGTTAAAATTTCAAAAAGGGGAATTACATTTTATCTTATGAATCGCTGTGAAATACTAACTGAGCGGTCTTGAATATTAATGATGACACTGAAAAGCAACAGTCTATACGCTATACTGTATAGACTGTTTGATTTGTCAATCCCAAAGGGCTCTTCATCTTCTAATAATAATGGCAACTATTACCCTCCGTGGTTCATAAGCGGTTATTAAAAATTGCCTCCGAGACAAAATACTTGCTTCAGAATGTACAAAAAGCATAATACTCCATTCAATTACTGTTCTAGGTCCAAAATTTTAATTAAGGAAGCTTACAAAAGATATTTAACAAGGATTGAAAACCATCACAACCCCAAAAAATTATGGGGTTATATTCAGGCCAAAAAGTGCATTTCTAATAATTGACATTTGTTATCTAGCATATATTATTATACCGGGTTATTCAGCTAAGATGACCCATTTGTGTTTTTAAAATAGGCAACCCAAAATACCGATTCCACCTGAACCTGCATCACAAAAAATGTTTCAAAATTAAATTGTATCAAAGTTTGCTTATAAGTGTATAGAAACGTCAGTGTCAGAAAAATGCTTATGCATTGTTACGATAATAACGAGAAAAACGACCAATCTTTGTGGTTGGTTTGTGGGTTGAAGTGCATGCTCCAGGTGCAGATGGTTAGAGCGATTAGGATGAAATTTATTTATTTGTCTAGCAATAGCCATTTATCCCATAACCGCCATATGAGGATTCTCATTAACTTGTGCAAGAAGTTATACTTCATTTTCCAAGCTAGTCGCATTCTGGTTCCGTTTCCTCTTGTTAGTAGGCCACTTTCTTACGCAACGAATTTTCTAGGCTCTTGAAAATTTTGGGTGTTGGGGCCACATGGTCAGGGTATCTTAGGGCATACAATTGTGCTGTACGCCTAGCCTTTTTGTGTCATTCTCCATAACGTGTCCATAACTAAGAATCATGTCGGTTTTCTCGTTATTGAATGCATAGGCGTTTTTCTGACACTGACGTTGACTGACGTTTCTATACATTTAGAAAACTTTGATACAATTTAATTTTGAAACATTTTTTGTAATCCAGGTTCAGGTGGAATCGGTAGTTTGGGTTGCCTATTTTAAAAACATAAATGGGTCATCTTAGCTGAATAACCCTGTATAATAATATATGATAGATAACAAATGTCAATTTGACGTTGCAAATACTGATTTTATAAAGGCCTTCTATCAAATCGATCATCTTCTACGTCTCGAAACATTAAACAGATTGGGGTTTTGTAATTCGTTAATGAGATTTTTCGCTTCGTATCTGCAACTGACATAATTTGTGGTTGAATACAGAAATTTTACTTCCATGTCACATTTTTGGTGGAGATGACTAGACTACTTAATATTCATAATGTACATATAAAATTTGGCAACAATCACACCAGTAGTTTCGGAGATTATCTGTCTAATAAAAATCCGGACAGATCGCAGACAGATAGACAGACAGACGGAAATGGGATACCTATTTATTCGTACTCTAGGGACATGAAAGACAGAGAAAATGTAAAAGTAGAGAGTCGTCCGATGGACTAGTTTTATCTGGTCGACTCTGGATCTGTGTAGAAGAAACTTCACCACTGAGCTACGCCAACGCATTATGTTGGTAAAGAAGAAGGCGCATAAACAAACATAGTATACAAAGATTAATGAACAAAATCAAGATAAGATTCGTAACCCACAAGTACAAGAGTATATTATTTCAAACAAAATCGGTAATGTTAATTATGCAATATAATGAGCGGACGCCATCAAACTGTTCGTGGGGGTGATTAGCCAAATTTTGGTCAGTGTTTCATCAACTACATGATATTCCTCATGTATACCCAAATTTGACAACAATCGGTCCAGTAGTTTCGGAAATTATCTGTCTAATACAAATTAACTTAATTAAAACGGGTCTTTGTTAATTTCAATTTCCCTAAATATCAGCACTCTAAATTGTAGTTGTTGTGCATTTCTGCAGAAGCTCATAAAATTGTGAACTATTGCGCATGTAACAAATCCTATCCTATCAATTGTAAAGTGTGAATATTTCACGAGGGGGCCCAGAAAAATTCACTCTAAGGTGGGTCTGTCTTGGACGTGCAAGAATGGAAATGATATTAACGGTTTAAAGAAAATCACTATTGCACTACAAAATGATATCAATGACCTAATATCAAAAGTAGTGACGCCGGAAGCTGCAAATTCACAGACAGAGTTACGTGATGTTGAAAACATTGTTCAAAGCAAAAATTCTCTCAGCCATAGGACTTAAAATTTATAAGGTTCGGCAAATTTGATTCTACTAAAGAAAAGCGTTGTCGTCCTGTGAAGATATTTTTGTCTTCGTTTCATTCAAATCTATTTTACGGCATCCTATGGTGTTACCATGACCTCTCATACTTTGTCATATTCAACTCTGAGGTTCGAGAATTGCAACTGGTCCGTCCAAATCAAGACTGTTCCAAATGTGGTGCCCCTATTTATTAATTTAACGAGGATAGGTTCGGTCTTAACTGCATGTTCCGAGTAAAAGTAAGTAAAAATAAAAAGGTACCATTTATTATTAATTTTAAAGACTTATTTACTGACAAAAGTGGAAGGATAATTAACATCTGTTATGGCATAGTATAACAATGAAACAACTAAAATATTTATGTATTTAATTAATTAGTATAAGTGTTTTGGGAATATTTACAACATTCTACTCACACCAAATTCACGTAAATGTCGAATATTAAGTATATCATAGAGTGTATAAAATAAAAAAAAAACAAGGTTTAGCTAAGGAGGAATTTTTGCCTAAATTAATACTCCTATGTTAATGTTTACAATCGTTTACATGTTTTTGAAACGTAGAGAAAGTAAATTTACTATGCATTTCTTAGGAATAATTTGACGTGTGTAATGATAATTAGGAATTTATGAAATTAATCGTTTAATCTTAAGGATTTAATTTTGGAGATATACATACTCTTATTTTAAAAATATGCATTTCTGGGCAAATGTTAATAAGCGCTTTTTCTGTTATTTTCAGGTGAGAAAGACACTTCCCAAGTTTTTCGAATGTATTAGAAGACACTTTGTATTGTTAGGGGATCGGGCGTCGCGACGTCGCGGGTTGACGGGGACGACCTGTCCTCACCTGTCGAAACACCGGCCCGAACCAGGAAGCCGGGTATGCTCCGATTTGAAAGTTCTGAGAAGAACTGGTTGCGTGCTTTATTTGTGTAGGGATTTCTTTGGGGTAATAAAACCCTCGGTTAAAGAATGCAGAGCGGTTTATTGTGACTCGAACAGCCGCCGAAGCGTACACTCTCACCGCTAGCTGACAAGTGATGCTGAGCGGGATTTTTAGCAGCCTTTTATATTTTTTTACCGTTTTCTGGACACCGTCTGGGCAGCGGATTGGCTGTCGCCAGCTGTCACAGAAAACGGAGCATAATTGTTCTTTACTTATCGCCTATTGACACTAAACTAATTTTTTGCACTAAATATATTACCAACTAATTACCTTACCCTAATTAATCTATTTTTCGCGAGCTGACGGCACACGCCGCGCAATTCTGCACCAGTAGGCGGGGCCCCGACCGAGGTATTAAATATAACCACTGTCGGCGGGGCGGCCAGACTGGAAACAGCCGCCGCAGCACGCGAACCTATTCTACGCTAATACTACTTTATTAATTATCCTAAAAACTTAAATAAGGTCCTACATTAACTTAATTAATTGTGAAATCAGGCCTCGGTCACGCTCTCCGGCAACATTATATTGCTTCATATCATTCATAATAAACAAGGCGCGGAATAAAATCTCACGCGCTCTATCCAATGCTGGTGCGTTGATAGTTTGATTACAAATGTATTTTCCTTTTGGACAATTTCAATATAATAAAGGGTGTTTCAAAATGATTTTCATCTAGTTAGTCGCCTATGATTACTTCAACAGAACTTCCTTCGCCCTTGAAGTACAATCCAACGAATTCCGCTTCTTTGAAAAATTATAGAAAACTTGTGTTTTCTGCTAACTTTTATATAGTAAAAACCAGTAGTGTAAATGACACCTCGAATCCCCTGCGCCGCGGGGGTGCAAATTCCAAGGAGGTGCGTCTGCAGATATACAAGACAGTATGAAATGTATTCAGAGCAAATAACCAACGGAAAAGAGTGTATTATTATCAGTGGACATGCTTAAATTCGATTGTTTATGCTTTGCATCGAAAGAATGTCACGTAGAAATTAGTTTGATTTGATGAACAGGATTAAAATTATTAGTTAAACCACAATGAAACAAAATGTTCTGAATATTAGATACTCCTATAATTCTTATTTTATCATTATTATAATATACAGACGTGCGCATTCTTCACATTTTCGAGAAAATGGGGTGACTCGTTCTTAATTTGACCAAAAAAAAATTTGTGATGACGGCATCCACATGGATAATTCTAGTTACAGCACAAAAGAACACCCGTGACAGCATTATACTAATGCAAAAAAAAAAAAGAAAGCGCCAAGTTCGGCATCGAACCCACAATCACAGCATCGAAAGGTCGCCGTTCTCTCCAATGCAACCACGGCGCCATGAAGACGTAGAAATCGTGGTGGGAATGAAACCTTATTATACGTTGCAAATGTTTTTGCGAAAATTTGAACGTTTAGCGAAAAACCTGAAAGCGTATTCGTACACTACAAGTATATGAATGTATTTTTGTGTAAGATTCAATTCATTTTACAAAACTAGGTACAGACAGACAGACGGATAGACAGATAGACAAACAGACAGACAGACGGAAACGGTAGACTGCTTTTTTCGTACTGTAGGGGTCATGAAACGTCGAGAAAACATAAAAGTGGCCATTCATCCAATGGACTCGATTACAATACTTTCTTCGCTTACGCTCGGGAAGTAAAAATTGGTCGAAGGTTATTTCGACAGGCGTTTCCTCGTCTCTAAAAGAACAGTGGAACAAATAGAGCTTAGAAAAATTATAACATTAAACAGTTTATTATTTTAACGTTATAATTATTTATCTTAAAAAATCAATTTTTTAGATTGTGCATCATTACGGTTTAATAAAAGTTTTGTCTAAATAACCTTAGACATTTTTTTTTAAAAACGCACGAATAAATTTGAGTTTTTATTTACTTCAAATAATACCTATAATTGTGAGTATATTTTGTATAATTACTTCGTACATGAACGTCCACGACAGACATTAAACTACATAAAGTATGCGTTATTATACAACAGTGTTACAGTACATATACATAATATATTAAAGCAACTATTAAATTATGTATTAATAAAAACATATTTAACTTAACAGACCTAACAATTGTTTTATCGAAATACCTCCACATATAGCGAAAATATAAAAAAACTCGAAGCACTGTAGTTTAATTTTTCAAAATTAGATTCGTAGGTACTTCATTTCGTTAGACAAGTCATAATTTCATGATACAAAAAATAAATATCCTTCCACAGTAATTAGCTTTACAATCTTACAGTATTTTGATCACTTCTGCTATCAGTTTAGACAAATATTTTTTATCCTTTAGATGAAGGCCTAAAGGCGGCCGAAGTAATTTTGACAGTTTGCAACTGAAGATTCCATAGTCCTGTCAAAATTTATTGAAGTTTTTATTCTTAACCAAAAAAATTATACAGACCGTAGGACCAATTTTCAGTTTATGTAGCGACCTCGTAAAACGGTTTTGCTATGGTGATCTTACAAAAATCTAATTGGGTACACTATTAGTATTTTCAAAACACCTTTACCAATAAAAATGTTGTACTTCATTTTATGATGGCTATTGTTAAGTAACGTGAGTTTATTTATTTAATAATTACTCTTTTTCGGCGCCTGACCACCGCCCAAATAAACGTATATTACATAGAATTCTGATGGACATAAAATAAACCATTTCCATTAAAGACAAAATAGAAAATCCTGTGAAGAGTCCAAGAAGTCCACCAAAATTTGAAATAAAGTCGAGGGGTCCATATAGTTCGTTTCTTTCTGAAGTTATGAAACTCTCAGATTTAAAGAAGAGAGTTAAAGTAGACAAATGTGAACTGAAATTGTATTACATATTCAGAATATTCTTACCACTAGCGCAGAACTGATATCATATTAACTCACTTGGCAGAAACACGAGGTAGACTTCGTCGAGCAGAACCCATATTTTTCCATTCATAATTTATTTGTGAAGTTTCGACTGCATAAGTTAAGTCAGAACAAACAGATAAACAGTTACAGTCAAATTTCTTGAAGCTCTTTTCGTCATCAATCTGAACAGACAAATGAATTTCGTGCATCACACCTGCAAAAAGATAATAGAAGGACTTTAGTAAAACTGCTTTTTAAACAAATATTACCTTCGGCAATTTTCATACACTCTATATTACCAGTGCCACAAATCTTTGTTCCATTTTCACCTAAAACAAACAAATTTAGCGCTATGTTCTAAACTTCACATACAAATTTTACGAGGCATATAGAAATCCACACAACCGCACATCTCTAGCGTATAGTTGGTTAAACATTCCAAGTTGCAGTTGGATGCGGTATAATTTTTGAAATATCTCAACTCACGTTCAAATGAAAAGAAGCACTTTCGTCGTTCTGACTTGTACCCTTTTACCCTATTGGAAGTAGTGATCATCACCGGTTCAATAGCTCCAATAACACTTTGGTCGAGAGGTATTCTAAAATATTTTTGACTGGGGCGAGGTATTGTCATGGGGGTATGTAGTATAACCCTGTATCCTTGAAGAGAATCTTTACAAGCATAATCTAAGTCTTCGTTTACTGTTAAGATGGTCAAAGTGAGTCCATTTTTAGCGCCTGCTAAGTATGCTCGTAAAGGATAAGGACTTAGCCCGGCACTTTCAGAGTAACCCTCTTGAAGACTCCAAGAAGTTCTGTTTTGCAAGTTGAGGTTTGATCTCCGATGATAATCGTTAAACGATAATCTAAAATTATGTAAGGATATAATCCTATATTAACCTGTTATGACAATATATTTACACAGTGTCTTTATAGATCTCCTTTGCTTCTAGAATATTGAAAGTATAACAAACTCCCTCCTCAGTAACGATCGGTACAAAAAATTCAGCGCACTTGTCGGTTAAGCTATCCAAAAATGAACAGTTTAGAATTTGAAACTCTGGAGTAACGGTTCTGAGAACATCGTAAAAATCGTCGGAGAAAGTGTCGTTGTTAGTATAATTCAGTTCTGGATAGTGGTTGCAAATGAGGGACATATATTCAAAACGGGCTTCGCTAAAAGAAATTTCATAATTTTCATTGAACAAGATGTTGGCCAACAATTTACTCAGAAAGATTTAATGGGATTCCATCCTCCATATTCTGCATTACTTGGGTAAAATTAAAAATTTTTTGGTTCGATTTTGCTTCAGGACAGATTGTTACGGCAGGAAAAGGAATTTGGTATATTGGTGTTAGTGTGTTGGCAAAGTTAACGATCACTGGGCTTCCCTCCCACTTTTTGTAGACAGCCCATATTGAAGTAATGCAAGCAGCCAAGCAAATTACAAAAACAAGAAACCACCAAATTCTACAAAAATATCACGTGCGATTAACAAAAGTTGATACTAGACGAGCAACGTATCGTTCTCAGCCCTAGTTACGTGTGCGAATCGACGGCGAAAACTGATTGCTTGTCTATCATCAAATTGAAGACGTTTTTAGTTGCTTGAAATTTATTATGACTAGATAGTATTGAACTAGCAACTTACCTTTCGACGACATGCCTGTTTTTCTCACCAAGATATTGAAAACCGTGAACACTTGTATGATTGCAGTATTCACGAAAATGTATACGGAGATTCTTTTTGAAGGTATCTTTCATTTCTCTTTCTGCTTAGTAAGCCAATATTCCCACAATACTGAGGAAAGTATTGTGCGGAATGTAATTTATTCGTTTGTAATGAAGGTATGAATGATTATATTAAGTAAATAATAATCAGTTAATTAAATTTAATGTGACTACACCCTTAATAACGTGTTACGTGTTCGTGTACTGCACATAAATTTTAACTTTGTTCATTTTTAATACCTGGGGGTTTTACTTAATTCATCTTAATAATTGTGCAACAACTTTTTCAACAACAAATTAAGTTACAATTTTGAGAAGCAAATATTCGTAAATTTAATAACTACCATAAAAACTAATATTATCGTAATACGTTTTTTTAAATTGCTAATACTACAGTATTTTTTATTTCAGACTGCATCGTAACACCCATGTTTAAATTAATGATTTAAGTCCGGAAAATGACACTTTGCAGTATCATGTCCGGTAAAAACCTTTACGGGACTCAAATGAAATAAATCAATAAACAAAACTAATTATTACTAAAAAAAATACAAAATTAAAAAAATTATGGTGTCTTTCTGACGATTTTCTTGGAATGAGAGAGCTTCATTATTTTTATACAAAACATGTTCCGGAATATTATAGATTGTTGTCATTTTGTCTCGGAAAATTCATCAAACAAAACAATAGAAACAGTTAGAGGCTAGCGTTTCATAGATGATTATATTTCCAATTAAAAAAAAAATGTTTTTCAAATTTAGACAATAATTTAGTGCCTGCAGTATGAAATAAAACTCATTACGACATACGTTCGGTAAACTTTTGCAATAACTCGTCTCAAAATTACTGACTTGGCTCCTTGGTCACCTCGTCCGTAAATATTTCGACTTGTTACTGTAAAAACGAGTTTACCGGACTTATAACGTAAATTATTATATCGCTACTTCTAATTATTAAGTAAATTTTCATAATTGCAGAGTTACTAATATATCGTTTTTACTTCTTGAGCGTAAGCTAAGGAAATATTGTAATCGAGTCTATCGGGTGACTGGCTACTTTTACATTTTCTTAGTATGTCATGACCTCCATAATACAAAAATATAGATCTTCCGTTTCATTTTATTTTATTGATTAAATCAGAAACTACAAAATCCAATGCTTTGAAACCTTGCATATGTTTTTAAATTATCATAAGCATGGTAAATTTTTATTCAAAATATATATTTGTTTATCTCCCCCAAAAAATTGATGACGTCACCACAAAATTTTACCGAATAAATCCTAATGTTTAAAATGTGCAAAATATATTAGTCTATACTTATGATTTATCATTGCATTCGTATTTTTAGATTTGCTTATACAGGGTGACTAAAAAAATTAATTAATACACCCAACTTATATGTATTATTAATTAACTCAGAAACTGTCAAACCGAATGCTGTGAAATTTTGCAGTTGTTTTGAAGTTATTGTAGGCATGGTAAATTTTTAATCAAAATACACTCGACCCCAAAATTAACCGGACTGCAAAGTAATTTACAGTATGCGTACATAAGTAAACATGTAAAATAAAAGATGTAGTAACGTTTTTAGGTGGTATCGTGTTAAATGATTTTTTCTCGCAATTTTTTTGAGCACCTTCGTTTAATTTGTTTCATGTCCTTTATTAGTTATTATTGATGTTTGTTTTGTGGTTTGAAAGTTGGCTCAAGTAGGAAATATGCGGTATTAAACCATGATTCTACCCGGCAATTTTGCAGTTTTGCCAGTGTGAGATTTATAGAAAAAATATTTGAATTTTAAAAGATTCATTTTTATTTTGTTAGAAAAGTCAAATTTTTATTTTTTATGTCACGTGATTTGCATAATGGTATATATTTTAATATTTAATTACATTTATTATTGAATTAAATATCTGCTGTTATATTAAAAAAAAAATGGTCTAAGTTTAGACAGTACTTCACTCACTGTCGGAATCGTGACGACTGCATGCTTATTATGTTTTTTTTTTTTGCAGCAGATTTCAAAGCTTTCGGTTTTGTAGTTCCTGAGTAAACCAATAAAATAAATTTCCGCATTCATTATTTTTTTGAGTCACCCGGTATATGCAAATTCAAAAAATATGAATGGAATGATACATTACAAGTACAGACTCATCCTATTCTGTATACTCTAGATAGGATTTATTTTTGCAAACTTTTCAGCTGACGTCATCAGTTTTTTGGAGAAGGTAACCAAATATATTTTGACTAAAAATTTATTATGCTCTTTGTAACCTTAAAACATCTGCAAGATTTCAAAACATTCGGTTCTGTAATTCCTAATTAAATCAATAAAATACGTTTACGCTTTTATTAATTTTTTTGGGTCACCCAGTATATGCAAATCCAAAAAATATGAATGGAATGATGAATCACAAAAAAAGACTCACCATATTTTGTACATTTTAGATGGGATTTATTCAGCAAAATTTTGTGGTGACGTCATAATTTTTTTAGGGGGATGAGTAAATACATTTTGATCAAAAACTTACCATGCTTATGATAACTTTAAAACATCTTCAAGATTTCAAAGCATTCGGTTTTGTAGTTCCTGAGTAAATCAATAAAATAAATTCACGCGTTCATTAATTTTTTTGGGTCGCTCTTTATATGCAAATCCAAAAAATATGAATGGTAGTGATAAATCACAAGTACAGACTCATCATATTTTGTACAGTTTAGATAGGATCTATTCGGCAAACTTTCAAGCTGACGTCATCAATTTTTTGGAGGGGATAAGCAAATATATTTTGACTAAACATTTAATATGCTCTTTATAACCTTAAAACATCTGCAAGATTTCAAAGCAGTCGGTTTTGTAGTTCCTGATTAACTCAATAAAATAAATTCACGCATTCATTAATTTTTTTTTTAGTCACCCTGTATATGCAAATCGAAAAAATTGAATGGAATGATAAATCACAAGAAGAGACTCACCATATTTTGTACATTTTAGATAGGATATATTCGGCAAACTTTTGAGCTGACCTCATCAAGTTTTTGGAGGGGATAACCAAATATGTTTGGACTAAAGATTTATGATGCTCTTTATAGCCTTAAAACATCTGCAACATTTCAAAACATTCGGGTTAGCAGATTCAAAATTAAATTGCAAAATGTTGTTTTATAATTTGGACGAACTATCGAAACCTGGCGATTCCGTTACTCTTATAGTTAGGCCTTCTACTTAACAACCGGAAAAAAATCCCACCAATTCTAAAAAGAGGGGAATACGACGACCTTGTCTTTGAACTCTAGTGATCTTAAACTTAATTCATCACATTCAGAAATTATTTTAGTGCGCGAGTGTTTCCCAAGAATGACAGTATACGAAATGAATGAAAGCGACAATACAGGAATCGCTGAACCGTGTACAAAGAGTGAAGAAGGATTCTGGCATAATGTGAGAAAATATTTAAGAGAATATGCTCAAGTAACAGGTCTCCAGGGATTCCGGTACGTTGCTGAAAAACGTTCAATAACTGAAAAGTGAGTGACTGTTTATATCAACAATTTTTATCTGAATTATCGTGCATTTAAGGATTATTTGGAGTTTGGCTTTGATATTTTCATTAGGTGGTTGTGTGTATATGATTTCCGAAATTCTGGATAAGTATGAGAGTAGTCCAGTGGTTCTCAGTTTTGCGGCTGAAAATATACCACTATTTGAAATCCCCTTCCCTGCTGTTACTATTTGTCCACATATAAAATATAATACACAGGTCTTCAATTACACCGATATCTTTCATCGGTTAAAGCATGACGAATCAGTGGACAAAATGAAGTGAGTAATTTAAAAATTTCAAGTTAAAAATAGTAGATTATACATCGAGGGAGGGAAATGCATGATTTTTCCTGAGACAGCGCTTGTAGTCAGAGGGTGAAGCCTTCGGCGTTGCCGCCGAAGGAATAATGGTATTTGGCTCCTGAGACGTATATACAATTTTTTGCATTCGCAGAGACTCCTACACAGTCCTTCAACTGAGAACAGATGATGTGATTGTAATAATATAATAGTAACCAGAATAGCCGTCATGACAACAACAACAACAAAAAAATAACAACAACTGTAATTTTTTTTCGATCAAAATGCAAAACGAAGATCCGCAAGAAATTCGTGATGCTGGTGAAGCTGCTGTACCGAATTTGCTGCCTCCTAAATTAAATTTTTTATGCATTTCTTTCTCTAGGGTACAAATATTCTATTTCTCTCCCTACAGAGCAAATGTTGTATTTCTGTCCCGATTTTGCCGTCATAGAAACCGACTTTTACTCCCGCGAGTACAACAAATTCCTTCACAGTTAGTTGTGCTTTCTATAAAGTTTAAATTTAATTGGTTGGTTGTTAGGAAAAATCACTTAGAAAACACTGACAATTTCAAAAGCATACAAATCGATTGTGACATTTTGTGCCAACAAGATCACTGACAGGTAAATTATTGTAATTAAAATTTCTCTAATTTCTTTCGGTCTAGTTAATAAAAAGTAATATATGATAGGTAGATATATGGACGAGAAATACATATATTTCGAGGACATGAGGTTCGAGAGTTAACTTAAATTGGGGATTCTAGCTCAAAACTTAAAAAAACTTTGTATTATGCCAAAAATATGAGCAAATAACACACTTGTCAATGAAAGAATAACAAGCGATAATACCAGCCGAGATTGATAATTGTATTCCCGCACTATAGTCCGGCAATATTTTGGTTAATGACCGTTGGAGCCGTATCGAAAATGAGTAATGCTTGCCGGAAGTATAAGAAAATTTACGAAAAATTGTATCGAAAACTTCAACATTATCACCAAAAAGAAAAATGTTCAATCTTTCCCCAAAAATATTTATTTTTTGGTTTCTCTCTAGATAGATTTGTAGATATGCGTACATTAATTATTTTTTCGGCGTTTTGTTATAATATTTGCTTTAGTGAAAATTTGTGTTTAACTGATTATTTCTTAATATATAGCAATATTTATCTTGTGTGTAGTTTAACGATGTTTCACCATCTAAGTGTTGTCTGTGATGACATACATAATACTTATAAATTTGAAAATAAAACCCTGGATAACGGATTTTTTGAAACCATACACGAAGTAAGTGCAAATTAAGTAGGTCTGGTTGATATTATTTCACCATTTTAATGGCATGATCGAATGAACTGAAGAGAGAATTTTAATAATTATTATAGTTTACTAGATACTAATACTCCAATGATGTATAATCTTATATACATTTTACATATATGTATTGTATTCATGAATCCAATGCCAATAAATTGTAAAAATTCCAAATAAATTCTCAATATATATTCTAGGATAAATTTTAAAATTTTCTTTTACAAATTTTACATTTTTTCCGAAAATTCGTATACATCATTACTACACCACTGGAAAAATGCATATAATCACAAATAAAGTACTTGGAGTAATATTCCTAGTCGGGTTATAGACATATGTATATGATTTCCCATATTTTACACAGAGTTAACTTTTTCAAATCATGTTATCAAATTCTTAGAAGAACAATTGAATGATGAATTCTGATTGCTAATTTACCATGAGCATCATGACAAGCAGTCGTCTGATAAATTTTTCTGTCGGTTTTATAGTTTACTGTAAAATTTTGTTGTATATTTTTGAATTTTTTGCTAAAAATCTGCACATATACACCCAAAACTAAAGGTCGTTAATTAATAAGTCACAAGCATATGTGCAGTGTATTTTACAAATTTTATAGAAGATATTTGTCAAAATTTTTAGATGGCGTCGTCAAGTTTTTGATAGGACAAACAGATAAATTTTGATTAACGATTAATTGTGCTTACCATATCCTGAAAAGGTTTGTAAGTTTTTAGAGCATCCAGTTTTGCAGTTTCTTAATTAAAATCTAAAATGTTTTTATCAACTTTGACTTTTTTTCCAAAATTCTAGATGTCTGTGGCGAAAATAGTGGCTGATTTATAAACCTCGCGTTTTAGAAACATTTTTGTTGGGAGGGAACAGAAATAGACAAATATTTGTTACCGTTTTATCATATAGGTGCTTACACGAAACTTGCTTAAAACAATTCTAAAAGTTCGGTATAATCAGCTCTGTAATTTCAGGGATCATTTGTCTAATAAAACCAAAAATAGACGATAGAGAGACGGAACCGTAAAGAGAACATTAAATTAACTCTTCTCGGGATGACTTACAGAGTTTTTATTAATAGCTAAAAGTTAATTAATTTTATAACAGTTTAGTTTATTTTAGACTAAAATCAAACCAGCGGATATGTTTTCATTATGTATTTATCAGTCAGAAAATAATTGTGAAGAATTATTTACACCTGTTATTACCGATACGGGATTATGTTATTCGTTTAACATATTAGGACGAGAAGACATATCTTACGACCACGTGTAAGTTGAACCTTGCTTAAAAATGTTTATAAATGATTATTTGTAGGTATAACTATGCACAATATTATCGCGTTCCTCACAAAATTGCAAAGCATTTTAATTGGAGATCTGGATACGAAGAAAAGATCGGTGTCGATGCGTATCCTAGAAGAGCGATAATGGCCGGTTATGACCATGGACTTCTAGTATATTTGAAGTTTAATGAACAAATTAAAAATCCAACCTGTACTGATTTTTTGCGAGGATTTCAAGTAAGTATCTTACTGTTAAAGGTTGAAGAAATATGAAAAACCAAATTCTCCAGTTCAATCGATTTTATCATATATAATTTTATATAATCTAACACAAAGTTATAGTTTGGCTAAATATTTAACATACAACGTAGTTCATTTAATTTACCACGTATTTTTCCCTAAGATCTTATTACAGAAATATTTTCCCACATAATAAATTTAACCTTCAAAATAGGTACGTGTTTGCAGACTATAAAATAAAAAATTAGTTTGGCAACAGTGCAACGAGAAGATTACTATTATAGTTAGATTTTTACGAAAATGCAGAAATTAAAAAAAAATAAACATCTAGTCACACTATAGAGTTAAAAAATTGGTCTAAAGAGTTTAGACAGTACTTCCCTCGCTGTCGGAAACTTGACGACTGCATGGCTATTGTGTTTTTTTCTCATTACATTTTTGTAGTGGGAATTTAAAATTGCGATGACGTCATCAACATTTTTGCAAGGACACGGATATCAGTTGGGATAGATGTAGTGTAATACTAAGAATAAAATTATTGTATTCCCAAATTTTCGGGAAAATGAATTGGGTCGTTTTGAATATTGATTTTTTATAATCAATAAAATAACGAAACAATTTACTCACGTATACGGCAACTGAAAATCGTTTATGTATAAACATTCTTAATTTAAGATGACAAGCGTAACAGCATACGTGAGAGCCAAACAGAGAAACTGTAAACAAAACGACCATCGGTTTTATTGCTTCGACTTCCGCTTATTATATAAAACATTGGGTTTTATTTTAATTCTTGACGGTGAAATTCAGAATTGGTTGATTATAAACATGTCTATTTCACATTCGCGGAACCAAGTGAACAAATGCAGGTCTGTAATGTTAAAGTCGATGTAAATAAGCGTGCTACCCTTATGTTTCAACCGAGTTTTTCCTTTAACAAATTTTGTGTCTACCAAATTGGGTTGGTTGGGGTGTAATACTAATAATAAGTGTTACCTTTAATTTAATCAATAAAATAAATTGACTTCATTAATTTTTTTTGAACCACCTCTTAACAAAATCTAAAAAATATGAATGGAATGATAAATCACAAGTACAAACTCATCATATTTTTTGCATTTTAGATAGGATTTATTCAGCAAAATTTAAGGGTGACGTCATCAATTTTTTTAGGAGGGATGAACAAATACATTTTGAACAAAAGTTTACCATGCTTATAATAACTTTAAAATATTCCCAAGATTTCAAAGCATTCGGTTTTCTAATTCCTGATTAAATCGATAAAATAAATTCACGCCTTCATTAATTTTTTTGAGTCACCCTGCATATGCAAATCCAAAAATATGATTGGAATGATAAATCACAAGTACAGACTCATCATATTTTGTACATTTTAGATACGATTTATTCGGCAAACTTTTGAGCTGACGTCATCAGTTTTTTGTAGAAGATAACCAAATATATTTTGACTAAAAATTTATTATGCTCTTTATAACCTTAAAACATCTGCAAGATTTCAAAGCATTCGGTTTTGTAGTTCCTGATTAAATCAATAAAATAAATTTACGCATTCATTAATTTTTTTGAGTCACCCTGTATATGCAAATCGAAAAAATTTGAATGGAATGATAAATCACAAGAAGAGACTCACCATATTTTGTACATTTTAGATAGGATTTTTTCAGCAAAATTTTGTGGTGACATCATAAATTTTTTAGGGGGGACGACCAAATGCGTTTTGATCAAAAATTTACCATGCTTATGATAATTTTAAAATATCTTCAAGACTTCGAAGCATTCGGTTTTGTAGTTCCTAAGTAAATCAGTAAAATAAATTTACGCTTTCATTTATTTTCTTGAATCACCCTGTATATGCAAATCCAAAAAATATGAATGGAGTGATAGATCACAAGTACAGACTGATCATATTTTGTACATTTTAGATATGATTTATTCGGCAAATTTTCGAGCTGACGTCATCAAGTTTTTGGAGGGGATAAGCAAATATATTTTGACTAAACATTTATTATGCTCTTTATAACTTTAAAACATCTGCAAGATGTCAGAGCATTCCGTTTTGTAGTTCCTGATTAAATCAATAAAATATATTTACGCATTCATTAATTTTTTTGAGTCACTCTGTATATGCAAATCCAAAAAATATGAATGGAGTGATAAATGACAAGTACAGCCTCATCATATTTTGTACATTTTAGATATGATTTATTCGGCAAACTTTCGAGCTGACGTCATCAAGTTTTTGGAGGGGATAAGCAAATATATTTTGACTAAACATTTATTATGCTCTTTATGACCTTAAAACATCTGCAAGATTTCAGAGCATTCGGTTTTGTAGTTCCTGATTAAATCAATAAAATATATTTACGCATTCATTAATTTTTTTGTCACCCTGTATATGCAAATCCAAAAAATATGAATGGAGTGATAGATCACAAGTACAGACTCATCATATTTTGTACATTTTAGATATGATTTATTCCACAAACTTTTGAGCTGACGTCATCAAGTTTTTGGAGGGGATAAGCAAATATTTTTTGACTAAAGATTTATGATGCTCTTTATAGCCTTAAAACATCTGCAACATTTCAAAGCATTCTGGTTAGCAGATTAAAAATTAAATTTCAAAATGTTGTTTTATAATTTTGATTTTTTTTTCAAAAATCTGGACGTTTCGGGTGAAAAGTCGATTCAGAGTTGTAAACTACATGTGTAGGACTATGTTATTTTATACAATTGAAAACCCATTTACTATGTACAATTTTGAAGTGACGTCATCGCATTAGTGGTGGGGATGATTAGACAAATTTTGGTTAGCGTTTTACCATCTACATGATATTCTTAATATAAGTACAAAATTTCACAACAATCGGTCGAGTACTTTCGGAGATTATCTGTCTAATAAAAATCCGGGACAACAGACGGACAGACGGACGGACAGACGGACAGACGGACAGACGGACGGACAGACGGACAGACGGACAGACAGACGGAAATGGGAGACCTATTTCTTCGTCTTCTAGGGGTCATGAAAGATCGAGAAAACGTAAAAGTAGAGAGTCGGCCGACGGACTCGATTACAATACTTCCTTTGCTTACGCTCGGGAAGTAAAATGAGACAAATTTGTTTACATTTTCATTTCATTTAAAAAAACGTTTTTGAAATTGTGAAATTGTCCTCTATTTGTGAAAAATAATGGAAGAAATAAGAAGCATAGCCTCTAAAGCGAAAGAAACGCTCCTGCCCACAAAGTCCAGAAGTTTATACGAAGGGAAGTAAGAAAATTTGCACTGCAACGAAAATTTTAGGGCAGCAAGTTGTTCTGGAATTGACACATCCAGCCACTGCACAAAAGAAGAACCACAAATAAAACATTGCGGGGGGGCATTGCGAACAATACCAGTTGTGTTATTACTATTAATAATTATTATTATTAGGTTTTTTTGTTTAATTTGAATAAATTATTGACATTGACAGGTGGCCTTTTTACTTTATCATTATGGTACTAGTCCATAATCTAATAAATTTCGGCTGCTAAATATTACCATAACGACAGTATTATCATGCAGTCGGCCATAGTAGCTATTTATGTTACTATAGTATATAATGCATAGATTTAGTGGACGCGTCCTTACATGGCCGAGCGAGCGAAGCTGATAAAAAGGCAATATGCGTAGTATTAAAAATGTTAATGTTAATAGATCGGAAGAATGTCACGTAGACATTTGTTTGAGTCGCCTCAAAACAGATGACTAAAATTGTTCACAAGCCTCAATTGAACAAAGTATAATGAATTTTGTTATTATATTAATTCTTACTTACTTTTTTCGGACACTCCGTATAAGCAAATCTAAAAAATATTAATGCAGTGAAAAATCACAAGTATTGACTCATCATCCTTTGCACATTGAAGACAGGATTTTTTCAGCTAAATTTTGGGGTGACGTCATCAATTTTTTAGGGGGGATGAGCAAATACATATTGATCAAACATCTACCATTTCTATGATAACTTAAAAACATTTCCAAGATTTCAAAGCATTCGGTTTCGTAGTTCCTGATTAAATCAGTAAAATAAATTTAAGCATTCATTAATTTTTTGAATCACCCTGTATAGGCAAATCCAAAAAATATGAATGAAATAATAAATCACAACTATAGATTCATCATATTTTGTACATTTTAGATAGGGTTTATTCGGCAAACTTTTGAGCTGATGTCATGAATTTTTTGGAGGGGATAAGTAAATATATTTTGATTAAAAGTTTATCATGCTTGTCATAACTGTAAACCATCTGCAAGATTTCAAAGCATTCGGTTTTGCAGATTCAAAATTAAATTGCAAAATGTTGTTTCATAATTTTGATTTTTTTCCAAAAATCTGGTCCTTTCGGGTAAAAACTCAATTCGGAATCATCAACTACATGTGTAGGACTATGTTATTTCATATAATTTAAAACTCATTTACTATGTACAATTTTGAACTTACGTTATCGCATTAGTGGTGGGGATGATTAGACAAATTTTGGTTACCGTTTTACCATCGACATGATATTCCTAATATGTATAAATACAAAATTTCGCAACAATCGGTCCAGTACTTTCGGAGATTATCTGTCTAATAAAAAACAGGAACGGCAGACAGACAGACGGACAGACGGAGACAGGAGGCCTATTTCTTCGTCCTTTAGGGGTCATGAAAGAACGAGAAAACGTAAAAGTAGAGAGTCGGCCGACGGAATCGATTACAATACTTTCTTTGCTTACGTTCGGGAAGTAAAAAACAAACGTATTTTCAATAGTTTTTAGGAATCGTGTATCCTACTTACTGACTGAACCATAAAATCTGAAAAACAAGTTTCAAAATTAAAAAAAAAAATTTAAAGTTTTTTTCTTACACATTACTACCTATGTATATTCTACTTGTAGGTTTTAATTCATAGCCCTTGGGAAGCACCTCTCCTTCAAAAACATTCCATTGTTTTGACTACCAATAAAACTGCAGTAGTTGGTGTTGAAGCTGAACTTGTTCAAACTTCAGTAGATCTGATAAAATATAAACCAAATAAAAGAAAATGTTACCTGTATTATGAAGGCTCTCTGAAACACTTTAAAATTTATACTCAGTCCAACTGTGTACTTGAATGTCGAACTGATCATGTCTTGAAACAATGTGGCTGCGTTGAATATTTTATGCCGAGTAAGTATAGTGTATATATTTACAGATACAATTTTGTAGAATTTTTAACAACAGGGAATAATACGACTGCGATTTGTGGTAATTCTCTTCTCGAGTGTGCATTAAATGCTGAAAGTGAGAATAAGCTCAAGATGTGTGTAAATCTTTAATAATTATATTTGTAATTAGATGATTTCATAGAAGTACAAAAGGAATCTAAGATAAAAGGATATGACTATTGTGACTGTAAACCTGCGTGTTCAAGTTTGAAATTTAGCGCAGAAATCTCGCAAGCGAATTACGATGAGGAGAAGTTGCTGAGAAGACAGGGACTAACGGATATGGAAGCAAAAGGGTATTTAAACGGTTTTGACAATTATATGGAAAAACATTTACATTTTAGTACGGCTTGGACTCTTTTGCATATTTATTTCAAAGAGGAGTACGTTACAGCATTGGATAGAAATGAACTGCATGGTATCTCTGATTTAATATCCAACTTCGGAGGCGTTTTAGGACTATTTACGTGATTTTCATTGCTTTCGATATTTGAAATCCTTTACTTTTGTTCTTTACGTATTTTCTGCAATGAAAGATTATATGGAAGTTGGTCAGGTCCTTAAAAACTAAAAGACGAAATGACACTCCAAGAAATGTATGAAGCAACTGTATTACGACAATTTTCTTTCATTTAGAATGATAGTATACTAATCATTATTTGTTGTTTTATAAGTTTGATGTAAAGCACCTAATTAACTAAATTCTTTATTTTTAAGTATGTAAGTATGAACAAAAATATGGAATATTTTAAATTTTCACAGACGTTCCTCAAATGCTCGCTTGGATTTAAATCGAGGCTGTATTGTGAGCAATCCAATTTTTTAATTTGAACCTCGTCCAGGTAAGAATATTTTAATAAAAAAGTAAAACACAAATTATTACTTGAAAAAAATGGTTAAAACATATAATATTAAATGTAGTTTTTTTTTTCACAAATAAGAATACAAATTAAATATGTTTGTTCTTAAACAAATAATAAAATTCTAAAAAAAAAATGTAATCCGTTTAGTTACATTAGAAAAAGATTTATGAAATGATGGGTTTCATAAAAATCTTCTGCGACAAATTCTTGAATTACTAAGTAGCCAAAATTAACTTCAGTGATATTTTTCTCATTAAGGATGACAAATATACAAGGTGACTGCGAAATACACGCAAAAAAAAAAATGGGGAATAGCTCACAATATGATTATGTCACTGGGTAAAATTCACGGTCCTAAGTAGTAGCAGTGTCTAGAAAAAATTATTTGAAATTCAATGTAAATTGTTGTACGCGCCGCTGGACTGTTTTGTGACCTACATAATTACTACAATGAATGGAACAGAGCGAGTCGGTTAAAGAACCAAAAAAGTTACTTTATCAGGCACTTTTTTAATCGCAACGTGAAAAACACGAAAAGGGCCAGTTAGCATCGAGCGGTCGGTGAAATCGGTTTATGGTGCAGTTTTCCCATGCAGATTGTGTCGATATGGTAATGGGTGCATCAGTGGTACAGCATCTCCGAGATCATGGTACCTTCAACCTCAAACTCACGATCGTGGCCGTGATAGGACAGAAAGAAGAAGTTGGATTTTCACAGCTTGTAGTGCATCCTACATTAAAAGAATACGGCCACATCCATACCATGTTGACAAAGTACAGGGTTTGGAGCCCGCTGATTGTCCACCTTGTGTAACTCACTTTTTGTCCGATGGAACTCCACGTAGTCGTCAACAAGTACGATTTCAAGAGACGGTTTTCGATAAATGTGTATCAGTTGGATGAAACAGTTCGTTTGTGGAAATCAACAGTGTCCAGAAATTATCGAAGATCTTCAACAAGTGAAAGTGACACCCGCTACTCCGGTGTTTTTTTACCTATCAACAAACCTCTTGCGACGCTCTGACGCCTGTATTGCTAGTCAAGGACAACATTTTCAACATTTCTTGTAAAAAGGTAGTAGCATTCTAAGTTGCTCTTATTTCTGTTCCAATAAACAATGTAAAATCGTTGTGACAAGGACCAAACATCCGTCAGAATCAAAATTACCAAAAAACTTTCACACTGACCTTTAACGATGAATGAGTAAATGAATGAACGAATGATAAGCAGCAAAAAGTCGGTTTTACTTTTAATTGAAACTGAAAGTGTTTAGGTCGTTTTTATTCAAACGTTTTTCCAACTCTGTTTACAAGGTGGCTCAGTGCCTTCGTATCGAGGGTGGTTCATGGGGGTTTTGCCCCATTCGATTTTTAATTTCTTTTTTCTATATTTCGGCTCTACTAGGGTGGGGGATGCCGTGGTTAAAATATTTGCACTTATTTCGCAGTCACCCTGTATATATATCGTCTTTTTCGTTGTAATTTCTTAAGTAACTTGAGTGATAAGTCATTTCATTACCACTGTATCTAAAATTTGGGTAATAGACCGTTTTTAATCTTCTTTCTTGAATTCAAATTATACACCAATTGCACCAACTCTTTTGAACTGTGCCCTGAACACTGTACCGTGAAAAACATTGTCGGTAATCTAAATTTTGTTACACATAAGAACCTTTGAATATTGTCACCAGTGGCAGTTTTTCTCCATTTGCATTTCCATGGTCTGATACTCTCTTTGTACTATTCTTTTCCTGGACCGGACTTATATGTACTTTCTCAAAATTCTTTTACTTTTTCACATCTTGTAACTATATCTCCCACACTCAAACAAGTATTTCTAAATAGAATGTCTTCATCTGCCCTGCGTAAACGTGTCATTTTGCCACCTCCTGTTTCCAAAATAGTATTGTTTTCATTATGTTTGTATTTTTCCAATTTACCAGTGTTTCCTTTATTGCCCATGGATATAATTTTTTGTAGCAGCTTTGACTCTGTTGATTTTTGTCTACGCTGAATTTTTCTACAAAAGAGAAAATTTTTAGCAATGTTTACTGGTAACCCCATAAAATAATACTTATTTGTGTCATAAAGAGCGTAACATTAGTCAATATGGTACCAATCGTGATCCTTTGATCTTTATCGGCGTACGAGGCGTTAGCTGCGGCCGAAAACACAACGTGTACCACAACGACGGGTTAGGACCCGAATCACATATAAATTTTACCTACTAGGATGAACTCACTTCCTAAAGGAAGAAAATTAATTTCCAGAATTATTTTTGAAGTAAAGAGTATGCTATTCGGTCGTTTTGTTAATGAATAACTGTTTGTTTGAAAAAAACAATTAATGCGGGTAAAACTTCGCTTATAAAACTATGAAAGTAAAAAATTGTGCTCTAATATTGTATACAATGACGGATTCTGAAGTAAGTTTAGCTTTCGCCATGGAAGAAGCAGTCGCAAACGTAGCTTCATCACTTCTATCAGCAAAGTAACAGAAGCTGCAAGGATACTGCGTTCGCTAAGTACGAAGATAAATATCAAAGTTTTTGTCAGAAGCTGGAGCTGAAAAATTTTTGTTGAAAAAGGTAAAAAGGCTCAATCTAATGATTTTTTAAATTCAGCAATCTTGGCTTTAGGTAGCGCTTATCATCAGAATAAGTGGAGCATGTAGAAGGGAAGAGTTAAACAGTTTATTTACAGAAAATGTAGCTTACTAAGGCAAAGACTTTCGAGTGCTGTTTTTTCAACAATTCCTGTTCCATCGCCTGCATCTCATACTCTTCATATTTTCAATTGTAGTAACTTGTAATGTTAATAAAAACTGAAATTTGGATTGACTCTTTTTGCAACTACAAATTTGACTGAGGATTTTGATTATAGTCCAAGGAATATAATACAGGTGGGAAAAAACAAGTTGTTCTGGAAATATGTTGAAGAAGTTATCGGTGATGTTTTTAAGTTCAAAATCCTCGGTGCCAACAACGTACAAACACATTTTAACCCCGGAATAAAAAAAAGGGGTGTTATAATAATTTTGATCCCTGTGGCTCTGTATGCGTCTATGGCATCGTAGCTCTCAAACGTACTGTCATAAAGACAAATATTTTATAATTCTTAGTTGCGAAATTATAACGCCTCGCTTCCTCTCAAATCATGCGATGGTAGTAATATTTAGAGACGGGAGGGCATTATGCTGCTAGAACGGAAATGTGATTGAACTAAGACAAGAGGGGAAAATTGCTGTTCTAGCAGGAGGTGGTTTCCTAGCTCCAACGAGAATCCGAAACGGGGAGTTAGTGGGTGACCATCATCGCAACAACTGGACCCCGGAACCATGTAAGTACTATTTTTAATAATAAAACTAGTTTAAAATTTTATTTGATTGTTTAGAATTTGGGGTTCCTGGAAAATTGTGTTTGGGACGTGATATTTAATGGTGGAGGCGCCTTTTTTCGGGTTCCCTGTAAATTTGAATTAATTTTACGTGGTACCTTATGAATCGAGAACCAGTTCAGAAACGCGAAAATTGTGAAATAGAAAACGGGACAAGTCAGAGCATTAGTGGTTTTTTCTGGTATTTTGAATCAGAAACAAAATCACTTGGACACAACCGGAAATTCAGCGAACTCGGCTGATCTTCAACTTCAGGAACTGCAAAGCCGATTCAGTTTAATTTCTATTAATTCGCCCGAGCATAATTCGCAGACTCAGCCGGGTTTTTCGGATTTATCAAATAGTCAGCCTGCTGGGCTGGTCATTCCCCAATCTCCGACCGTTTCAACGTTCTCGTCACAGCCGCTACTTGAGTTCTGAACCACAGAAATAATCCGGTCTTTTTCTTCATCGGAATCCGAGATCGTTCCCATTCCTGGAACAATCGGGACGCCAAAAAGTAAAACACTCGTAACATTTTCCGACAAATTTCACGACCGATCTACGAAAAGTTCTGCATGTTTTCAGGAAGTCGCATTAACATTGCAAAATCTCAGAACTACTTTTTCTATTCCAACATGCCCAATCTTTCTACACTTTCGGGGGCTTTACGAGCCAAAGAACCCTTGTTCAGAGGATGCAAATAAATTTCTAGCCCAATATGATCGCTGTGCGGTCGCCAGTAGCTGGGAGGATAACTTAAAAACAACATATTTTGGCAGTTTTCTTAGCGGCGTTGCTAATCGCTGGTACGAAGAATTTGTTGCCGGAAATCCGGACAGTAGGTACTTGGGACGATATTGTAGACGTATTCAAATTTGAGGTCTAGCGCACGAAGTTGATGCCTGACGAGCGTTTCCGAAAATATTTCGAACGTCGATTGGACGCCAAATATTATGCATATTATAAATTACTTTGCCCAACGTCAAAAAGTTTTATTAGGTGTATGTCAAGTGAGTTTAGTATAGAAAATTATGGTATTTAAAATGAAAAATTTGGCGAACAGATGATTAAATGGCTTAGTATTAGTCACAGAACACTATTAATGGACCACTTCTCTCTATTTTTGTCTATGGAACGACCATCATCAGCAACATGAAATGTCAAAATTAATAGTACAGTAAATAAACTAGGAACTAATAAAAAAAACGTAAAATAAAAAAGATGTATCTGTA